CCTATATATATATATATAGGTAGTGCAAAACAAAATTGTGCTAAATATAAACTAATGGTAAATATACATAGAAACAGTTCGGAAGTGTGTTGAGATCAACTATAGCGTAAATAAAATAGAAATGGATGGAAGTATGGAAGTGACAAATGTAACAGGATGGAATAAATATAAACAGTATGAGGTGATTAATGTAAATATATAAATAAATACTGTAATAGCACTGGAGCTGTTCCACGTGATTAATGTAAATATATAAATAAATAATAGCACTGGAGCTATTCCAGAGAAATTGAACAGGATATATTACACAGTGATGTTGCACTTAATTGCTCAGTAGTATTACACAGTAATACTGAGAGCAAGTTAGCCCTAGCTAACTTGCTCTCAGTCCTCCAGCGACTAGACACGATGGTGCCTGAAAGGGGATGTCCTTGAACATTTGAAGTAAATGTTTTTAACAATGTATTTACTCTATTACTCTAAACCAAAAAAAAAGCTTAAAAACAAAATATAACTTCAAGGTAATGCCTCAACGTGATTAACTGATATCAAATTAGTATACCGTGTATTATACACTGTTGTTATACAAATCAGCTAGATAGAATTCACCCTACAGAAAAGTATATCCTGTATTAAACTATAAATATATTATATTAAGGTAGAATAGGTAGAATTCAGCCATAATGCAATTCTGATGATTGATCATTATTTTAATGAGTCAAAAAGTACAGGTATATTCTGAAAATGAAAAAGCATTTCTGCTAATGGAGTTCAATTTAAATTATGGTACAGATTGTCTTCCATATTTCGGAGTTTACTTGTATAACATAACACAGTATATGCGCTCTAACCTTCAGTTAATGTTATGTATGCCCCCTACCGAGTTGTGTGCAGCTATTTGATTTTCATTTTAATAATAATAATAATAATAACCTTAAGCGCTTAAAAAGTCACATTAAATCACATTTGAAAAACATTAGGGCAAACAAAAGCTAAAATAAAATGGTGGTGAGAGCGAGATGAAGTCTGGTCGCATAGACTACTGCTGTTAAATACTGCATTTGTTAGTCATGTCCATAACCGCTCACAGTTATTTATTCTATGTGGAGTTACAGGAGTTTCTCTACCCCTTAAAAATGTTCTTTTATTCTGGCACTTACAAAGTACTAATCTGTAAACAGTGATGATTTTTGTTATTGATCATCAGTAACAAAAATCACAATAAACACTGTGAATCCACCCATGATTCACAGTGTTTGTTTGTTTTAATTTAATGTCATATCATTTCATTGTGACACATAAAAGGACTGTTTTCCTCACTCATCCTTTATTTCTTTCTCTTTCTATTCCCCTTTCATCTTGTATTCTTTCAGCCATCATTGGTCCACCTAACGTCTCTCTCACCTCCCATGGAGCTGCTATTGAAGTTGCCATTGAAGACCCAGTCTTCGCTATCTCAGCACTCAGGAATGTGTACAACTATGCCACTTACAACATTACTTACTGGAAAAACAGCCAGAAGGAAAAGGTCAGTTCATTTATTTGTCTTTAATCTAATACTGCGGTGCAGTGTGAATTGGTTGCCGGTCGTGGAGACTGCTGCCCCCACGACCCTGTAACGGATAAGCGGGTGAAAATGGATGGGTTTATAAGTGCAGTGACCCAACATCTAACGGCACTCCCTTTGTGACCTAGTAGTAGATCATGATCTACCTATTAGGTACCCCTGAACTAGACAATCCTAGAATGACATTCCTGTAGCACTTTGTATTTCACGTACTATAATATTAATATTATAATAATATTATATTACAGATCAACAGATCAACAGATCAACAGATCAACAGATCAACAGATCAACAGGGTTAGGGTGAGTTAAGATTAGTTTCAAACTTGGTTCATGAATTTCTATCTTTTCAACCTGGTGTTTGGACTGATGGGTCTGTTGGTCAGTACTGACCAAACACAGGACAAGACCATCATTATATTATATTATATTATATTAATGAAAATAATAATATTGTACTGCACACTATTCCGTGTTTTGTGGAACTGCACATGGTTTGTCTTCTTATAATGGTTGTTGTTATATGTGTGATTGCAGATTCTAATGATGACATTTTGACTATAGTCAAAATATTATTAATATAATATTGGTACCTTACATTACAACAATTTATAAAAAAGACTGTTGTGCAGAGATAATAACTTCTGAGTGCACTACACAGAACTGATGCCTGTTCTGCTACTTCCAACAGACTCGCCACATCAGCAATGTAAAACAAAATCGAGTAACTTTGAGTGCCCTGGAACCATGGACCAAGTACTGTGTCCAAGTCCATATAAACACAGAGAGGAACCCGAAACCCAGCCAGCTCAGTGAAATTGTCTGTGTGAAAACCAGCAATGGTAAATTAATTTTTTTCTGAATAAAAATGCTTTGGATCGTTTTAGCGAAGTAAAGTAACATGAGAAAACCCCATAAAGAAATACTGGGTCAATATGCAATTTTACACTGAAAAAAAAAATGATAGGAATGCTTTTACTTTACTTCACTTTTTTTTTCAGATTTGGTCTAATATCTAGGTTTTAAAGGGGGGTACAGCAAAATTGTCTGCACATGTCATTATGTTGATTATGTTTTATATATTTTATTAAATCTGATCTTCCTGCAGTGGAAGAGGGTCCTTGGAAGGCCACGGTGGTGACATCCGTCCTTATGTTACTGGCATTGGGTCTGGTGGTGCTTGTAGTGGTGTATTGGAAACGTATATTGAATACACTGTGTCCAAAAGACACTCTACCTCAGCACTTCAAAGAGGTGTGTTATAAGTACACTAACCCGCTTACTACTCAATAGCTATTTCAATGACCATTTCTGTTTCTTTTTTTTTTTTGGTTTCACTGGCCAAGTGGCTAGTGAGCTTTAAGTGAGTTTTATATATATTTCAATGTAATTATCCTCATATATATATAACATTATTAGCATATTTTGTGTGGAATTAAGGAATGATGTGGCGCCTTGGCCTAGAGACATTGTTTCTGTCATTGGTGTGGAACCCCAGGGTTCACCTCCTGGGCAAGTTCGAATCCTGGTGAGAGCGGTTGGTGCCTTCCAGTGGACTCCCCCCCCGCAGGAAGGTTCACAATGTACTGGTATGGTGCAATGTGATTTCGGTGGCAGTCGTGGAGACTGCTGCCCCCACGACCTGGTAACGGATAAGCCGATAAAAATGGATGGATGGATTAAGGAATGAGTGAAATTAGCCCTTTTTTTAGGTTTCATTTTCACAATTATATCCAAATAGCAAACGTCTTTAATCGTCTTTTATCAATCGCTTTGGCACGGCATAGGATACACAACATTATCCCTACGTATGTCTGCTAATATCGTCCGACCGATATTATCGGCCCGATATTAGCATAATGATGTAATATCTGTAAGAATCATTATTGTTTTCTTCTCCAATGATGAAAACCCGATACCACAATGCCTGGGTTTCACCAGATAATGTGCCACTAAAAATAGTTTTGAGGATAAATGGCTGTATATTAAAGTGAAAGTCAGTAGGTGGATGCATTGAGGTGGAGCGTGAACTTTGTTCTACTCTGTATTACCATGGTTCTGCTTGACACAATTGACACTTTTTTTTTTTACCATGGTTCTGCTTGACACAATTGACACATTTTTTTTAAATTTTTTATAAATTGATGTTTAGTGTCTTGTATCATGTGACCTAATATGTTTAAATCCATATTCTGATGTGGCCTTAATAACATTCTTAACTCATTGTCTTTCTTTTGCCTTTATCTTTTGGATTGTAGTACCTCCTGACACCCCCTGACTCTACTGTCTTCCAAGCCATACAGAGAGACCAGCCTCAAGAGGAGACCTACTTTTGTGCCAGCATTATTTCAAATGGTGGGTCTTAGAAGGCGAAGAGCCTTACTGACATATTAAGGGATTGCTTTAGGTCAGATTTCAATGTCAGAGAGTGGACATCTGCAGGAGGAACGTCAATGCTGCCATTAATAAGCAATAAAAACGGTGTGCTCTTCTACAGCAAACAATATTGCCCCAGCAATAACGGTTGATGGCCTACGCAACTGGCACTGTTGGCGGTATGGAAATCGTTTTAGTGATTCACATATTTAATTTGGCTAAATGTTTTACGCCGGATGCCCTTCCTGACGTAACCCTCAACATTTATCCAGGCTTGGGACCGGCACTATAAAACACTGATTCGTGTACCCTCACAGATCACTCCTGACACTTTTCTCCAGCTGTTCCATCCTGCCTGTACTCTATTCTTCACCTCTCTTCCACAGTCTCCTCTGCTCTGAACAGTTGATCCTAAGTACCTAAACTCCTGCACCTTCACCACATCTGCTACAATTGAAGTCCTATTATTCACATTATGAATATTTCCCTTAGCCAAGGGTGTTTCCCGGAATAATAGAAACTGGTAGCTGTTGTTCCCATTTTTAAGAGTGATGACCCTTAGTCAATATCAAATCTGATCAACTCTCTAACAGACAGAGGAGAAATTCTAGGCTAATTAAGCAACTTTTACCTCAGACTGGTTCAAATTGTATCTTACCACTCGATCTCAGTGTGTAAAAATACAAAATACAAAATCTACTTTCAAAGATCTCACCACAGGTGTCCCCCCAAGGCTCAGTCTTAGGGCCTATTCTATTAAACCTCTATAGAAATGATTTGTCAACTGTGTGCCAAGGCTGTATGGTTATTATGTATACAGACGATACTGTGATCTTTGTAAAAAGGAAATGACTACTCTGAGGCTGCTGCACACCTTACAAAGGCCATGGTTAAAGTTTCAACTGGGCTGAATAACACTCACAACTTAACACCTCTAAAATGGTTGCTGTGTTTTTTTTTTTTTGTCAAATCAAAGAAATCAAACACAGAACCTGATGTTTATATTTATTTTTATTATTATATATACAGTATATAATGATATATACCATATATCATTATATTTTATAATATCCCATGTTAATTACTGTCTACCCACCACTGCAAACTCCACTACTCTAAACCAGTTGATATCTTTATACAAACAAGCCCTCAAAATCCTGGATAAAAAAAAAAATCCCTTCACCATTGCTTAACTTTCCATAAATATAGACTTTTTAGCTGGAACGACCTGGTTATGTTCAAGAACTGCTGCCTCCATATATAAAATTCGTCATCAATTGGTCCCATCTGAA